TTATCTCATAGCAGAAGTGTATGTCTTCAGCTCTGCACCAAACAAGCAGCCATACATGTTCTGTACTGTGCTAAGCAAACTGTATGCAGTTTGCCGTTTACTGCAAAATACACATCTTCAGCAGTAATGCACTCCACTGCATAATAGAGTAATAACAACACCTTTCTCCACAGCTAATTTGTAAGAATTTTAATTGAAAGCTTTTGAAGTTGACAACAGTAATTCCCCTTGAAGTTTATTTTACAAGTTTTTTATTACAAATTAAATTTTGTATGCTGTTTCAGTCCAAAGGAACTGATTTCTTACATGAATGGGCAATGACGTTTCCTCCTTCCCAAGGCTGAGAAGCAGAGGATGTTAAAGGGATCTTTGTTGCAATTTATTTTGTGGTGCACAACCAAATAACACAATTTTATTACAGTAAAATCCCATACATAAACCAGCTTGAACACATGGGAAGATATATCTCTCTCTCTCTCTCTCACAGTACTAAGCCAAGTCAGATTTACTGTCAGCATTAAAAGATCATTAAACTGCAGGAGGGTAGATTTAGATTAGATGTTAGAAAGAAATTCTTCACTGTGAGGGTGGTGAGGCACTGGAACAGGTTGTCCTGAGAAGCTGTGGCTGCCCCATCCCTGGAAGTGTTCAAGGCCAGGTTGGATGGGGCTTTGGGCAACCTGGTCTAGTGGAGCGTGCCCCTGCCCATGGCAGGGGGGTTGGAACTAGACGGTCTTTGAGACCCCTCCAACTCAAACCATTCTGTGATTCATTATACAGTATTACAAGTGCTGTATGTCCATAAATGGTATGGATTTCTGGGAATTAATACATGTTTAGTATGACCATAACTTGGACTGTATTATCTTTTACTATAGTCTCAACACTTAGCTACTTTGCTCCAGAAAGATTAACTACTTTGGCACCTACCAAGTGTCCTGCATACCACAGTAAGGACACAGCTTGTACTGCCAGAAATGACAGCGGAGAGCATCTCTAAGAAAAACACCTGGGTAACTCAGTTTATTTGGTGAATGTACTGGTTTTGGCTGAGATAGAGTTAATTTTCTTCCTAGCAGTTGGTCTAGTGCTGTGTTTGGGATTTAGGATGAGAATAATGTTGATAACACTGATGTTTTAGCTGTTGCCAAGCAGTCAAGGACTTTTCAGCTTCTTACACTGCCCTGCCAACGAGAAGGCAGGGGGTGCCCAAGAAGCTGGGAGGGGGCACGGCCAGGACAGCTGACCCAAACTGGCTAAAGGGATATTCCATACCATATGATGTCATGCTCAGTATATAACTGGGGATTGGCCTGGAGGTGGGGTACCTCAGGAACTACCTGAGCATTGGCTTCGGGTGGTGAGATATTGTGCTGTTCATCACTTGTTTTGTGTATTATCAGCGTTATCATCATCTTCCTTTTCTGTCCTATTAAGCTGTTTTTATCTCAACCTATGAGTTTTACTTCTTTTCCATTTTCAATTCTCTCCCCCATCCCACTGGGAGGGAGCGAACAGCTGTGTGTTTTTTTTAGCTGCTGGCCAGGTTAAACCATGACAGTGAAGCAGTTATGCAAGTTTCTCTAAGACCCATCTTCAGAATTATTTATACTCACAATAAGGACCTCTAACACTCCTAACCTGAAGATCCCTAAAGTATCTCCAAAGTACAAAACCACCACCAACAAAACAGGTCAAATCTTTTAAGTGTTTGGCCATTCAAATCGTTAGAATATATTATTCTGTTCCAGAAAGGCTTCTACTACTGAATTAAAAATTTGGACTGATCCAGAACGTATTATATTCTTTTCACATCTGCCCCTATTATAAAATAGCTGGCTTCTACATATCATAAACACTAATGAAAATGTGGATAAAGATTATGCCACTGTTGACATTAGCAGAATACTTCAGTGCTGTTTATTCTGACAATTGCCTTGGTTTGATTACTAAATCCAGTTTTATCACTTGAATTAATAACTCAGAAAACCTGAAAGGAATTTGAAATGAACTGTGGAAAACAGTCTATTGAAATGTCTAAGAAGAAATTGGAGCAAACAATCTTTGGACCGCAGCAGGATCCTTTAACGTCATGACAATTAAGCTATATCCATTCTTGTCTGCATGCTACCTATAAAACAACGATGGCAGACTTCCACAGATGATGCTTTACTCACATTAAGCATTATTAATAGAGATGTTCTCAATAAAGATACATCAACCTTGGGAGTCTTGTCCACTGTTTAAAATTAGAACTACCATGGCTCAAGCGAGGACTGTGCATTTTGTACTTCTAGGGTTGTTAGACCTGCATTTGCCAAATAACTTCATTAGAGAAGAAACCCAAAACATTTCAAGCTTACAGTTGCACAACAAATGATCTAAGTGAAGCAAAACAGTGTAATCCCACATCTTCAGAAAACTTATATCCCTGCCTTTCAGAAAGGTGGGTTACTTCTCCCTGAGCAAGGCCACAGAGACACCACAGAATACCACGTCTTCCCCAACACACCAGGAATTAGTTATTTAACTGCAGCCAGGCACTTGATGTTTGGCCTGTTTGCCTTCTAAGCCACAGCAGCTTCAGTGAAGCTGCGTGCCGTGCTGCGGCTGCCTCTCCAAGCAGGAGCTAACTGATGATCCCTGCACCCATCCCTAGAGATGGGGCTGAGATCTGTGCCAGTCTTCATGCTTTGACTCTGCGATCACAAACCACGTAACCTGGAGGATGACGCAGTGCCGGAGACGCGGGCAGCGAGAAGGCCAGAGACCGCTTGACTGAGGGGCAAGGACAACTGAACACCCATGGTGCGCAGAAGCAGTGATCTGGGAGGGCTGCTCCCCCCTGTATCCACGCCTGGTGTATCAGAACCCACAAGCCAGCGTTGCCAGTTGCTCTTTAAGCTGGCTAAAGGGCTCTTATAAATGCTGTGCTTATATACTCTTCAGGAAGGAGGAAGCAGGAAGGCCCTACACCTCAATGATTTTTTTTCAGGACTTACTTTCCTTTCTTGTGAGAAAGGGCATTCATTAATATTACTGATTTAACAGTTAAAAATACTAATCTGGTGTTACAAGTTTGTATGCTAATTACAGAAACTAAGTACCTAAAAGATAATGTCATGCTACATAAACTACTCATTATATGGGATTATTAGCCCTCAAAAAAAAAAAAAATCAAGTGAATGATGTTAGTAAAGATACTGATGTTTAAAATTAATGTGCTGTTTATATAGCACTAGAGAAGCTGAAATCAGCCATCACAAACAGCAGTATTGTATACTGCACCTCCAAGGTATATCAAACTACTCACTTATTATTAAGAACAGATTTAATTGAGCTATCAATTAACCCCTCCTCCCATGTCTTGCAATACCTGGCAAGAGACTTACTAACAAGAATCCCTAGAGGGCACTTACCTTCCAAGACTCACATTCACAGTTACCAAGCCAATCACATTGTCTTACTTGCTAGTGTAATTAAGAGTACAACTCCATTTTTATTAAGTAAAGTAGACCCTCATGTGAGATGCACACAGTATTTTAAAGTTTTATGGCAGCTGTAATTGAGTCAAAGCAGGTACCGTGCATTCCAAGGAAGATCACTGTACACAAGGTGGCAATCACTGTCAACCTGTATACCTACAATTTATACTAAAGCAGGTATTTTTGCCTGCAGTCTTTTTGAAAATGTGTTGCCTGGGAATACAAGAAATGCATTTTTTAGATTTAAAAAATGTACATACAGCAGTTTGATACTGTTTTCATTGAGCCTTAGGTATTTTCAAACTGCTTCGTTACCAACAGCTGATTTGATGATCCCTGTTCAAGGTCAGCCGCCTTGGACTTGCCGTCCCCCTGTTCAACAGCATCAAACAAAAGGGGCCCCAAGGAATCGCCAGAGCTGCAGGCTGCTCTGCTGCTTCGACTGAAATCAGAAAATTGGTTTCAACAAATCGTCTGCAGGCAACATGGGAGTGCTGGCTCCAAGCACTATCCGTTTCCCTTCCTATATTACTAAAGAGGCATCAGCAGCTCTTAGACGGCAACGCTGCCACAGCCTTGGAAGAAAGCTGCATTTTCAGACTCAAACCATGGATTGCCCGTTTTATGGGCAACTTTAAACTGAGGGATGTTATGTAAGAATCTTACATCATGCATTATCTGCATGATCAACATCATCTGCAGGAGCTGTTTTAAGAACTAATATTGCCTGTTCTTGCTTTCTGCTATCAAAATCCCTATATAATGCTACCTGATAACGATCTTAATCAATGTGTTTCTCTCATTCTCAAGTTGTCATCCCGAAGGCTCTTAAAAATCAACAAACAATAGTCTTATCACATATATGATGTCTCATCATACATCTAATTTACAACACGATACAGTGATTTAGAATTACCATAATTTAATTTCATCTTCTACGGGAAGGCCATTCTCCCAAAAAAGAGGCAACACCCTGATTTTGAG